CTGGGCCCTTTGCGCCGCAGCGTGTGGAGGTAGCGGCAGGGGATGGAGGAGACGACGCAGTTGCTGCAGGGCAGGCCGCGGTCGCACTTCATCTTGCGGAAGCGGCAGTTGTCGCAGACTTGCTGCGGCGGCTTGTTGGTGGGCGGCGTGGAGGCGGCGGCGGCGGCGTCTGTGGGGGTTGGCATTGTGTTGTTTGTTGTTGACATTGTGGTGTTGTTGTAGTAGTTGTTGTTGTTGTAGTCGTTATAGAAGAGAGGATTGGGAGGGTGAGAATATGGTGTTTGTACAAGAGGGTGAACTGGTGGTGGCGATGGTGGTGAGTTGACGCAGGTCAGTTGACGAGAACGGCGACACTCCTATATCGGACTTCCGGTCATATAAGTTCGAGCCCAGAACCGAAAGCTGCAAATCAGAACTCAAACTTGTCGTCTCTTTTTCCTCTCCTCTTCTCAACTTTGCCATTGACAGTTCACCAAGCAAAGAGAGAACATGCAATCCAAGTTCCGAGGCCTTTCTCAGCCAGAGCGAAGAAGACAAAATCCAGCTGCCAACAGAAAAGTAAGATGATGGGGTTGTTGTAAAGAGAAACAAGAACCCTCCCTCCAACGGTAAAGAAGAAGAAGAAGGAAGAATGAAAAGAAACAGGCCCCCTTTTCCCGACGGCTCGCGCCTCAGCGTTACATGCATGCATTCCCCTGCCTTGTCCCTGCACCTCAAACTTCTTCTTCACCAAACTCCCCCATTCTGCATTCTCCCACACCCCGCAAAGTTCACCCTTCTTTCGGTTCGGAACATGCCTCTCCACCCTCCCAACTTCGACACACACACACACCCTCGACTGGTGCACCCACGATTCTCCGCCACGTTCCTCATGTTTTTCCTAGCTTCAAAAACCTCGGCCAGCCATTTCCGTGTCCGTACACTTATCCAAACATGGCATTTTTCTCAAAACTTGACTAAAACATCTCGCCTTAAAGTTGTCGGCATAAGGCCAAAGCACATACATCCTGACCAGGAAATCAAGAACGCACAAACCCCAGTTCTTCTTACCTCCCCCGCAAATTCAAGAGAACTACCTACTAAGGCTGACCTTCTCCGCACCCCAGTACCAAAATGACCATACTCTCCCCCACATCATAGTGTCCCGAGTATTTCCCCAAGTAGCCTAGAGACTTCAATAACCTAGCAGCTTTGCTTCGGAAAAGGATCCCGTGCTTCATTCTTCTTCGCCAAAACGGTTCCAATGACAACCACAAAGGCGGGATTTCGGTACGAAACGCCGAGCACAAAATACAAAAGTGTTATTTCGTCCATCCGTCCCCCTTCAGCCAAAGACCAGGGGTGCCCAAGTTTGGAGCCTGTCATCAAGCCGTCCAGGTCCAAACCAGCGGTATAAGCACCCCCTCGGCAACTCAAATGCGCCATACATAAGAGTAATGAACATGGATGAGATCAAAGCACATATATAAAATGGAACCAGCTTCTGCAAGAACTCACCCCTGTCATGTAGAATAACGGAAAAGCAAAACGGATCCGTCCGGTCGGGATGCCACCACAACTCTTGTACATACGTACCCCTTTTCCGTCTCTGCTATATTTGACGGCAAAAGGCTTGACGACGCCGTCGTGTTCGTCCTCGGATAAGTCGAGATGAGTGGACAAGAGTTTGCCTTGACGGATGTGATTTCCTTGGGCGGTAATACCAATGAGTGAGGCCTTGTCCCATCACCTAATAGTAGGTAGTCGGCACGGAGTGCAAGTCTGCTTTGAGTAAAGATACTCTATCCTTCAAATCTCACAACACACAACTTATATGCCAAGGCTGCCAATATATAATGGCTGTCTATTGAGATGAGGAGTCTAAAAAAAGGAAAGGAAAAAAGGAGTGTAAAGACTAAAAGTAGCTATATGTAAACAATTCATGCCATGGCATAGCGGTGCCAGCACTACCTCGTGGTGGCCACAGCGTCATGATCCGCGTCTCTAAGTTGCTTCAATCCAAGCAGTTGTATCCCGATTTTGTTCCTCCTCTCCCTCCTATGCGAACGAAAAATTACCAGACCGCCCTTTCGTTGTGCTCGTGGCGTACAACAGGGCCTTTGACGCGAATAATTTCATAACCTCTCAACCCGTAGGATCCCTTCTTTTTGTTTTCTTGCTTTTTGTGAAATCAAAACCGTTCCCTTCCAGTATCAGCCTGCTTCGAGATTAGGGGACTGGAAATCCCGTCTTCTGAGAAAACAACTTCAACTAAGAATTGTTGGACGTTGATCCTCGCTGGCGACGGCCTACACTGCCGCCGCGGTTGGGCACATGCAGCGACGGCGACAGGTGGAGCGTGTCCTCCGTCCGGCTCACGTCGAAGCTAGCGCCGCGGTAGCTGGGGTGGCGGCCGACAGCACCTCCATCCTCCTGGATAGCCCCAAACTGCGATCCGGGCATCCCAGTTTGGGCCTCCTCGTCATATGTCCGGATCCTGGGGCTGGCCGGGAACGTCGTGTTTTGGCTGTCCGTGGGCGTCAGGCCCGTCAGGCCCTCGCCCGCTCGTCGCCTGCCGCCACGCTGGCTTTCCTTCTTGCCAAGGTCTGCCGACAGGCCGGGTTCGTCCGCCGGGTCTCTAGAAGCAATGGAGCGAGCGTCGGCGTCCCACATGCCCGTCGTCTCGATAGCCAGGGATCGGTTGCTGTTGAGCGATTGCATGGCGTCCTTCTCTGCCTGGGCCATCTCCTCGGGGGTCTGGTGCTGCGCGTTCGAAGGCACCAGTCGCGCGGCATCGGCCCTCTTGGCCGCCTCTTCTCGGCTGTGTGCGGCCCACTCGTCGGTCACGGACACGGAGTACGAAGGGTTCGTAGGTCCGCCCAAAGGCTCACCACCACCGCCGGGAGCGAGGATGGGAATCTTCTTCAGAGCAATGGCCAGAGCACACATGAACTTGGAGCGGCGCGTGGCACGAACGCGATCGTTGTGCCAGTTGGACTTGTGCTTGATGCTGATCGTAAGGGTCAACTTGTCAAGGTTATTGACACCGCCAACGCCAATGCTGAAATCGGGCTGGAAGTCGCGAGAGTTCTCGGGCGACCGGACAAACTTCTCCATCTCCACTCGGAGCAGCTCAATGTCCTCAAACGAGGTGTCAAAGGAAACGTCGAGAGTGATGGTCTCCGACATGGCCTTGCTTCGAGTGATGTTTTCAATCCAAAGGTTGTTGAGTACAATGTTGGGAACCTATCTCGAATGATTAGCCGTCGCTTTCCAAGGCATGCTTTAGAGGGCAACTCTCGACTCACCTGAGAGACCTGCATCCTATCGGTGCGGGTAAACACAGTGTACAGCAGGGAAATGCGGTCGACGAGCATCTGCGTGCCCTGGATCTCGATGCGGTCACCGACATCGTAGGGGTGCTTGACGAAGAGGAAGATGCAGGAACCAAGGAATTCCTGGGTGGTGACGGCGAAGACGAAGGAAAGAGACAAGAGAGCAGTTCCGGCGGTGGCAATGGTGGTGAGGAGGCTGCTGTTGAAGAAGGACACTGCGTTGCATTGTCAGTATATGAAGCCCAAGAAGATCAAAAGCACCGGGTAGAGACTTACAGAAGATGAAGATGGTGATGAGCAGAACCACAAACAGCAGGACCTTATCGAAGGCTGTCAGGGCCTGGCCAATGTCCTTCATGCCCTCGGCAATCGCCTTGCGCTCCTTGCCCATCTCTACCACCTTGCGGATCATCTCCTCGAGGCTGATATCCCCGTTGGCGTCGGTGTCGATGGCCTCAAAGGCCTCCTCGGCCTCACGCTTGTATGCCGGTCCGAGAACCTCCTCGACGTCGTCGGGGTACAGGGCGTCTCTGCCCTCTATGACAAAGGACATCCACAGACGCCTGGCCAAGGCCTCGGACGAGCGCTTCTTCTCCAGGGCTTCGACGACGATGGAGTGGGCCGAGTTGGGGTTGAAGACGTGCTTGCCCGTGATTTCGCTAGCAAGGTTGCCAAAGACCGACGTCACCTTGTCACCAAGGCGGGTCACGTCTCCAATAATCCGCATGGGGGCCTGGGCACCGGGAACCTTGACCTTGCCGGCCTTGCGGCG